TTTTGGCACTCTAGTGGTTAATAAACAGAACTGCGTGCGCCTTGCGGAAGAACATTGTAGAACAACGGAGCTATTTCTCTCTTCTTCTCGTTTATGTCCAAGCGTGCACGACGATTCCTCAAAAGTGAAGCCATCGCGTCTCGATCGCCCCCTAGTGGCTGGCTGCAGTATAGGTCATAAACCCCACCCTCTCTATGTAATCTAATGGGACGTGAGACAAACTAAATAATCAAATTACACTTTAAATAATTTTTTTCCAAAGATGGTTTCTGTCATTTTAGGTAGTTCTTATCATGCTGATGTACGTACACGTGTTCATTTTTCTTAAGTTAGCTTTTAACTAGTTATTTGATGCTATTAAAAATGAGGTGTGGTGTCATGATTGTGATCTTGCAATTGGGTCTGCGTGAGTTTGGGCGGGACTTTGATACCGCGGCTCCACCTCACGATCACTACTGAGCAGACTCGGGGTCCAAATTATGTCATTTTCACAAGATGACAGAGGCCATACTAAGAATGTTTTGGCTTCACTTTTGTATAGTGGAAGGAACTGGAGACGCGTCGTCCATCTTTTTTTACAGTCTATGTATATGTCTATGACGAATCACGCAGGTACTGGGCTACTCCGCAGCGGTACCGGAAACACGCAACCTTTGGGTAATAAGTCCAACTCTAACCCATTAGACTGCCCCAAAAGTTTCCTCCTTTGAGTCGGATTTGAACCAGTGACCTAAGGATTTCAGTGGATTCACCTCTACAGTCCTCCGCTTTACCAATTGAGCTATCGAAGAGCACATTGTTTACATATATGACATAAAATGTGAAAGCATAACAACTGAAAGTCTAAAACCAGTCAATAAAGCATTTTTTTTAACAATGTCAAATTGTTTTACTAAAATGTTATTGCAGACATATAGCCCATGAATTAATGAAAATGCTTTTTTTTTTAATTAAAGAGAAATTAAAGAGTGTGGCCTTTTTTGTTTGATGCTTGAATTAGTTTGAAGTTTAAAAATACACTAGATGATACAATTTTTAAATTGTGCCTTTTTTCTTACAATTAACTTACAATAGTGAAAGAAGCCTACACTCAGATAGATTGCATGTGTTCTTGCTTTGCTGGATGTTGTGCCGGTGATCAATAATCATGTTGTTTTCATTCACCCAAACTGATTTGGCAAAATTAAAACACGGACTATGAACGGAATTGCTGTTGCAGTGTGAACCCTTATCGCTGTGAAGCGTGAGCGACCAGCTGTCAGAAGATTCCGCTTGGTCTTAAAGTCTTCCTCTACAATGATTTGTCCAAAAAGAATGATTGATTATCAATTGAGAATTTGTTATTCGTATGGTCTGGTGGTCATATGGCATATGCCTGCAAATATGGGACAAACTGCATTCCGTATAGCTTTCATATGGAACACTTTGGTGCCTTAAATACGGGACGATTCCGTATTATATGGGACGGTTGGCAACCCTATTTGCAGTAGTCAATTTACTGGGTAAATTTAATAATTTAATTCCCCAAAAAGCATGTCTTAACTTATTTTGTGTTTGACAAGCAGCAATAGTTGCTGTAAGAGGAGGAATGCAGAGAACAGAGAGACATTATCAGAATAATCCAAGCACCATTATTTGTAATTTGAGCTGCTCTTGGTAGATTGTGTTGGTCAGTATGGAAATGAGCTGCTGTGTTCTTTAATTTGAGCATCGTCAGTAGATCATGAGAACTTTTCACTCCCATCAATGCTTTTGGAATTGATATCTCACTCTACTTTGCCCTATTTATTAAATCTGGCCCTTCTCCTGCCACAACTGAAATAAACCATACACTGCAGAGATCCACTCCAACACTGTTTTCTCACCACTTTTATTTTGTTATTGAAAGGAAAATCACCAGCACATATTTACATATTCATCTAAATGCCACCCGGGGTGTTCGCTGTATCTGCTGATCAAGTGTTTTAGCGAACAACAATAAAGAATTTTGCTGAAAGTAGATCGGGACTTATGTAAACCTACGGAGCCCGGGAAGTCACCTGTAGGAGAAAAAAAACAATCCGTGGCGATGGTTTTGCAATTCGTCCCCTCAGTTTATGAACGGTACTCACGAATTCTTAAACTGTTCCCTTGGTTTAACAAATCGTGCCCATGGATCAATAAACCGTACCCCCGAATTTCCAATCCGTGTGCTCAGATTTTGTAAACCGTATCTTCGGTTTTTAATCCGTGCGCACGCTTTCGCAATCCGTTCCCGCGGGTTTGTAAACTCTACTCACGGATTCATTTGAGAAGAACATCAAGCTCCTAGGTAGCCTACGTGTTAATCATATGGTATATTGTTATATCGCATATTATTATGTGGAATAGGCCTACATCAAATTCAGTGATTCTCTATAAATTGTAGCGGGTAGGCCTACGAGGTGGAATAGCAACGATTTAATAAGCCAGATTTGCGTCAAAATCTTGTTTATTTGTGATAACCTTAGCACTTTATTATTATTGAGTGAGTGAGTGACGTGACATGTGGCCAAGTATGGTGACCCATACTTGGAATTAGTGCTCTGCATTTACCCATCCAAAGTGCACACACACAGCAGTGAACACACTCACACACCGTGAACACACACCCGGAGCAGTGGGCAGCCATTTTTGCTGCGGCGCCCCGGGAGCAGTTGGGGGTTCGGTGCCTTGCTCAAGAGCACCTCATTCGTGGTATTGAAGGTGCGAGAGAGCGCTGTACATTCACTCCCCCCCCCTACAATCCCTGCCGGTACGAGACTCGAACCCACAACCTTTTGGGTTACGAGTCCGACTCTCTAACCATTAGGCCACGACTTCCCCA